CACGGCAAGAAAACCGAAAAAAAAAACCCAAAAACTGTAGACAACGAAAAGCACAAGACCCGAAAATAGAAACGAAGATGAAAAAGTTAAACATTTCAATTTGAGCATCGCTTTAATTAGCATGCGCTTGTTCATTGTTTTCCGTTTTTGTGCTTTCCATCGAGCGTTTGATTTGTTGTCTCGCTGTTAGTTGTTGGCTTTTAGCTTTTAGGTTTTAGCCGGCTTGATTAGCGTGCCCCGCAGCCGCAGAGGCCTTACCTTGCCTTTGCACGCTTGGCCCGAAAGCAGGCCGAGAGCCCTGGTCTTTGACTGTGCGACACCCATCGACTCCGTGCGACCCGACTCTCTGGTCGGCAGCGCTCTCTTTGTGGGTGGCCCCTAAACGGCTTAGTTCGCTTTGCTACTTTTTCCTCTGGGCCACCTTTTGTTCGTCCGGGGGCTTTCTTGGCCATGCTGATGATTACTGTGAAATTGGCAATGTTTAATGGTCGCCCCAGCACAAGTGTCTTTTGTGTCTTTGGCCCTAACTACTTTCCTCTTTGATGAGTTTTCTTTTCTGAATTTTTTTCCATTTTTCGACACAAAACGCTTATATCGTAGGACTTTCTCTTTGATTCTCTGGCCAGGGATACAAATGTATCTGCAGACAATGGACTGAACACCGAACTAATGACTAAAACTTGGTTAATCTTGATTTAAGCTATATTGTCAAACATTTGCTGAATTGGTTACGGAAATACCAGTTGATTCAGTTGATGGGGTTATATTTACATGTATAAAATAACATGCCATCATTTTTTTCAATTACTTCAAGATCTGCTTCCATTTAAGTTCTTTGTAAAATCAGAAATTAGTTCCAATATCCCAGTCCAAGTGATATTTTCCTAATTCCTTTGCAAGCAAACTTCAATCAAACTATGATATCTCCTCGTACATTCCACCCATTTTGGGTCAAACGAACACACCCAAAATAAGCGGGGAAACGAAAAGGCGTGTCAGTCCATAATTATCGTCTGGCTATCGGTAGTAATACAATTTTCGATATGCTACCAAGCGGCAGGCAATCCATTCCAATCTGCGCCACAAGCTTCTATCTGCCTTGCCGCACAACATCAAGTGGAAGTGACGGGCATGTGTCAATGCTGCGTGGGTCGGTCGCCAGCTGTAAATGTGAACCGAAAGCGACTCCATCCGTGGCATATGCAAATTGCTTGCGGCTGGAAAATCACAGCAGCCAGAAAATGCACAAACAGATACATATGTAGGTATATATGGAAGCTGTGACTACGGGTCGGGGCTGCTGTTGAAAGCTTGCTAATTGACAATTATAGTCAAGTTATTGTTGTTGCCGGGAAGTTTTATGACACCGGTTGCACTGCCTAAGGGAATAGTTTAAAAGACTTGGGCGTTTGCTAGGGATGGTGGCATAAGACGATGAAGGTAACCCATCGACGAAAATCGTGTCAAAATATTCTCACCATAAACCAAACTGTTGGAGAGGTAGTGAAGGAATTTTGAACAATATCTCCCATCCCATATGGATGTATGTAGTTTAAAGATGTATTTTTCCATTTTTCGATATAATTTCCGTACATTTCTAAAGATATCAATAGTTTATTCGGAAGTATTTAAGGAAGCTGTGAAACAGTCGATTCATAGAGTGCTCTATATTATTATGGTTGCTTAAACTTCTTCAAAAATTCTTTAAAACTTCTTAAATGATTTAAAACTATCGGTAACAATCGTATTATGCATCTCACACATCTCTAGTGCACAACAAATCGAAATGTGGGCGGGATCGTGGCTTCCCGAGTCGCTTAGCCCGCTTAGCCGGCGCTTAATACAAACTCAAGATAAAATGGCTTTGGAGCGATTATTTAGGCGGTATCTGACGATAGGAGCGACCATCTAAATTACAGAAAATTTAGTATTTCCGGGAGTATCAGCTGCACCGCCGCTGTTGTCCGGCAGCTGCGCCGATAAATCAATGAAATCGTCGTCGCCCGGCATTTGAATATTAATGAACCCTTTCCTTGCACTTTCACCGATGAAAGAGGGTCCCCAGTTTATCAGCGTGTGAATGAAGCCACACACACAGCATAGGGACCGAGGCCGAGGCGAGCCCCTGGGGCTGAGGGGGCACAGGTGTAAATTGACTTTCCCTTTGAAGGATTCTTCGACTCAAGGACCTGGTCGACGGGGCATAATTAACACCGCGGCTTTTCCCACGCAGCATGCGTGTGTATCTAATAGATACACTAATAGCCGCCGAGAACAAAGAGCGAGATATACAGAAGAAATTAGAATTATAAAAAATACAGAAGCGCTAAACTGGGAATGAAACGCGCCGCTCTATTCCGCTGCACTGCGGCGAAACTCAATCACAAACCGAATGCTCAAATATTTGTGTGATTAGTCCTTATCAATAGCCAGGTAGCTGCCCGCTGCCGGGGATCCGGCAGTTTGGGACACGGAACAGCACCCGGGTCGGTCCGGTGCGCTCCGATCCGATCCCAGCCGAGCCATGGACCCACTGTGGCTAAAGTCGAGCGCTGAGCCTGCGGTGGTCGCCGCCGTCGATTCCTTTCTCGTTTAGCATCCTGCTGCGACGGCAATTGGCTTCGATTTTAGTTTTCTTTTTTCGTTAATAGACGTTTGCCCTTTGTCTTCAGACGCCTTGACGCCTTTTGTGCTGCCGTCTCTGCCCCCGCCCCTGCTGCTGCTGCTGTTGCTGCTTCTGCTGGGGCCTTTGTTCTCGGCTGATTGTTGCAACAAATCACATTTGTTTCAATTAAAAGGATTTGGAGATGTTTGTTGGGCCTGTACGTGTCAGCATTTCAAGTTGGCTAAAATGTGTGGACAATTGCAAATTGGCTTAAACTCAACTGCTGCACGATGTCCTGCGAAACGAATCAGAGCAGTAACTACTAGAAAACAAAAAGGATGTTTAAATTTGGTTGAATCTTCGAGTAGCTCTTCAGACAATACTTTTTTTTATTTTGGATTATAAAAAGTGCATAAATGGAAGAAAAATCTATAAATAATTTTTAAATAGGTACTAAGGGTGTGTGTTAAGGTTATGTGTGTTTAAACGTGGTATTCTTGATCATCTTCTTCTTTGGCTGATAAAATCAATGAAAAATTGTGAGAATAGTAGGTGTCGTCAGAAACACGAGATAGTTCTATAATATTTGACCAAAAATTGCACGTTTACTCCTCCTAATATAATAAATAATGGTGACAAGGATAAGGATAAACAAGCTGGCCATATAAAACATTTAGAAAATAGCCTTTACAATTTCTGCAGCTTTAAATAAATTATAATTATTAACAAGGGAATCTTGCATGTAGAAAAAAATATTTGTACATTGTACATCTATGTTCCAACTCTATGCACTGAAAATATTTATTTATTTATTTACATATTTACCAAATTGTAGACCAAAATGAGTCATACGGTACAATTAATGGTTATAGCCAGAGCCACAAGCCTTTAAGGCCATGTACACACATATATTAATAACTATATTTCCCGAGAGACGAGGGTCTCTCAATTCACCTTTGAATGGATAAACTTTCGCATTGGAATGTACAAATTTAAAAAGGTAACAGCACGAAAAGCCGTCGGCTCTGAAGTAATACAATTTCTTTCCCTGATACAATTTCCACCAATAATACAACTATTATAATTTCATTATCGCACTAACTGAAAACAAAATAGAAGCAATTTGTATCAATTAAGTAAGGCTGCATTTAACCAATATCCACAGTAGCTCCATCCATATCCATCCACCCGAGACCGACTGGCTTCGCTGTCCGACTCGGACCCAAATTAATTTCCAAATGTCTTCGAATTTATGCACATTTTTTATTACTTTCCCTACTCACGATATTGTTTCTCTTTTTCGGTGGTTTTGTCTTTCTACCAAAATTAATGGTTCGCTTTTCTTGCAGCAAATTAATTGCAAACGCTTGACAATTAAACGCGGGCTGCCTCTAGGGGCACGGCACGGTTCTGTTGCGGGTCTGGGTGCGGGTCATCGTCATTATGCTTAAGCGGGGGGTTGTGGGAATGATGAAGTTGGGGCAGGGGAGCTCTCTGCCTCTGCCACGGACTCAGTCGCTGGGCCTTGGAGTTGATTGTGAAAACTTTGCAGCGACTAAAATACTAAATACAGTCTCGTTACAAGCTGAGGAGCGTCGCTATTGCCGTCTCGCTTGCACGCCAGCCGCATGATGAACGCCATAATTACCGTTACGTATACGCCACCATTGCTATTTTTTGTTGCTGTAGCCGATTGGTGGTGAACAGGCCGGCCAGAGGGAGATAGCGAATCATTCTACCCGACTCTGTCTAACCCACGAGCGAGGCGGTAAACTGGTTCTCTCCCAGAGACAGAAAGACAGAGAAGGAGAGAGAGAGAAACGACGTCGACGCTGCCGCTTGTTGTGCAGTTATGATTTGATTGCCGAGCCGGGCTGGGTTGTTTAACCACCGACAAACGAGACACGAAACGAAGCGACGAGGAGACGAGAGAGCCAGAGATGTTAAGCAGACTCTGAGTAACAGAGAGGGACAGACACACACAGCGAGAGAGACAGAGACACAGAGAGAGAGAGCGCGTGTTAGTGCGGAGCGGAGCGGAGAGCGACGCGACGGCGGGCAGCAAAAGAACTGAAGAAATATCGACGTGTCTAGTTAGCGAACCAATCTTCAAATCTATTTCGAACGTCGAGTTGAGAGGTCCTCCTATTGGATCAGCGTCGTCGTCGTTCCCTCGTTAATCGTCTATCGCTTACCGCCTGACACTCAGAGACTTGAGAGATACAGATACGGCCGTGTTCGTCAGATGAGTACACGAATTTATTAAGAAACCAACCGCAAAGTGAAGCAATCGAATCAGTGCAACGTCGCTTCTGGCACCTGCAAGAAGGAGACACAGTTTAGTGCTTTGAGCGATACCAAAGTGACAAGTAATACCCGCCAGACCGAAGCTTAAATGCTCTGTCCTCCAACCATGCGTCCGGCCAGCCCCGCCGAATCGGAGATCTCCGTCGGAGGAGCTCCCAGCCCGCTGCCCACGCAGCTCCAGCACCAGCACCAGCCTCATCCGCATGCCCACCAGCTGCACCATCCGCGTGCCAGCACCATCGACTTGCTCCAGCAGCAGCAGTTCCTGATGCAGCATCATGCGGCCGCCGCAGCCGCTGCTGCCGCCGGACTCACCCGCGGGGCCGTCGGCAGTCTGCCGGAGGACTACTTTCAGCCGCTGAAGCGCTTGCGCATGTCCTCCTCCTCGTCGGAGCCGCGGGAACACACGCCCAGTCCACCAGCCCTGGCTCCGGCACCCACCGCCGCCGAGTCCCAGCCACAGACAACCACCAAGGCGGCCATTGAGGGCGTCAAGAGCTTTTCCATTGCCGACATTTTGGGGCACTCGCAAAAACAGCGCTCGGACTCGGTGTCGCCACCGCCGGCTGCCACACTGCTGGCCCCACCCGCCAATAGGGCGTCCGCTGGTCTGCTCCAGCCCCGCACCGAGCCCTTGGAGGCACATCACGCGGCGGCCGCCATGCTCCTGCCCGGAGGCCAGATTGTCCGCCCCTGGGATCACCTGCTTGGCCCCATGCCCGTGCGCCCCTTCATCCCCTCAGCCCTGCTCCACTACGAGCAGCGCCTGGCCCTGGACTACCACCGACAGCTGCAGGAGCACTTCAACGCCCAGGCCCAGCTGCTGCGCCACATGGGCATGGACATCATTCCCTCGGAGAGCGGCTCGGACCGCTCCAGCTCCGCGGCCAGCGATTGCTGTTCTCCGGAGATTTCCCGGGACTCGGCCGCTGCCGCCGCCGCCGCTGCTGCCCGCCACAGCCACAGCCCGCAGTCGTCAGCCCAGGTGGCGACTGAACGAGAGCGACACCACTCGGCCGGATCGGCGAGTGCCTCCAGTCCGTCCCAGAGCAGCGGTGGACCCAGTGCGTCCAGTGGAGGAAACGCGGCCGCAGCCGCTGCTGCCGCTGCCAAGGCCAAGGCCAATGGCACGCCCCTGGACGCTCTGTTCCAGATGACCACCAAGGATTTCGACGAATCTCAAGGTAGGTTTCTCTCCCAAAACCATCTCTCATCCACATCTGTCTGTCTGTCCGCTGCGATTGACAAATTTCTCAATTTGCGAAATGAATTTATGCGATTCTTAATTAGAATAAAAGCCTTCAATTAGTTCTCGAATGGAAATATCGCAATTCCAGAGGCTGAAGCTGGATGTGTACATATTTAGCTTATTACTGGATGATGTTTGCCATTTATCAAGCAGCAAATTCGTGTTCGTATTCCGTTTAATTGAAATAAACGGCCAACAGATCAGTTCAGATCGCCTTTCCCCCTCCCGCTCCACGAGCTTCTCCAGTCAATCGATCAGAGTGGGGTCTTTTGATATGTAAATTCCCTAACCGATTCGATTTTTGGGCTTTTAATTAATTGGCAGCATGCGCCACAGACAGAAACAAATTGCTGGGGGAAAATGGAACACGTCAAAGATATAGATTATTTCAGTGAAAGAACTTTCTGGCACAATCGAACATACATATTTACTGCCTGTGCTGTGGAAACGCAGCAGATTAAGTCACAGTTCAAGTTTGACACTCATCCGAGTGCATTTAGTGGGCGTTTTAGTACTGTCTCCATCCCCTGTGCACCCTCTGGCGAGGCAGTGATTTCATGGCAATTACTGTTTAATAGTTCCAACAGTTCGCATTAGACTTCGTAAGTAAATTTGTGTATTCGTGTCGATTCTGCAGCGATTAGCAACAACTTTCCCGGAGGAGGGGGGTGGCCCAAGTAAGCCCGTGTGCATTACCTAATCGAGTCTTGCCGGGTTCGAGTATTTTGTTGCTATTCCTCATCGAACAATTAACATGCCGTTTCCATTTGTTGCTACTCAAAACTAATGGCCGACAAACTCTGGCCCCAGCTGGAGCCTCGGTCGTAAACATGTTTTAAAATACAAAAAGAGCGATTAGCGGAGACACCCGGCTGTTGTATAAGGCAGTGCTTAAGTGGACAATATACAAATATTACTGTTTATCAAATATTGTATATTGTATAACTCAAAGACGAAATATTTACGATCAACGAAGCAGCAACGATATGCAGCTTTGCGTCGTCGTTAGTCAGTCAGCACCGCAGAAAGAGGAGGAGGAGGAGGAGGAGGAGGTTGTCCGGGTCTAATCGAGGGGCAGATGCGCTGCAGTTGCAGCGGAAATCCCATAAATATGGGCAGTGCACATTAATATCTTTGGCACTCTCTAAAGATGGTTCCTCCAGCTTCTCTCTGAATCAAAATGTAATGACCCTTGACCTGACCAGACAACTTGTCGCCCTGGGTCTAACCTTAGCCCAACTGGAATTCCCAGTACTAGCGCCCAATGAATCCATAAAATCCCAGAGGCCAACTGTTGCCGTAGGTTCCAGGGAAACCGATCGGATTTCCAGCCCGAACATATTGGGCACGGAACCCTGACAAATGTGACCAAAACAAACCTCCCCTTAACTAAGGGAACGATTTACGAGTGAGCCCTGTAAGTGGACACCTGAGAGGGACAGGATACCCAAGTGGCCTGCTCATTTCTCTTTCTCTTTCGACTTTGACTTCGGCTTTTCCCTAGCTGCAAAGATAAGTCATGGAAATTACTTAATGAGTCTCTGATAAAAAATAAATACAGGGAAAAAGAAAGAAAGAGAAAGATCCAGAGAGAGTGCGGAGTGGAGAGTGGAGGAGAGAGGCCTGCAGGCAGTCAAGTGCCTAATGGGTTTTGGGTTACAAAACGCGCTCAAGATAACGAATGGCCAAATTATGTATGCGTTTGCATTTCGAATAGCCAGACACTCATACCGTGTATTCATGTGGTATTCATTCGAGTCTGGCTGGCGCTGGCGCTGGCGCTGGCGGGCATTTAATTAGTTTTTAATGTTGATCTAGTTTGTTTGACAAGCAATCGGAATGGGTGTGAAACTATCGGATGTCGAACCGGTTGGCCAATATTCAATAAATAAATATTTATGCTGATGATCGCCTCGTGCGATGTCGATGCGGGGCTTTGATTGGGGCCGCTCCTGGAGACTTTGTCTCTGTACCAGGAAATGTTATGCAAGCCTCGATCAGATAAGGCAGTGCACTATAAGTACAGGCCAGTGGCTCATTAATCAAGCCCGGCTAGTGGTACTGTACCACTTAAAACTGATTTGTAGGTGTCAATTATTATTATAAATCACACGGCAAACGAGACAAATGAGCGCTCCAAAGATTGCATAAGACCGGGGAGTCATTAGATCCGCTCACTCAATGAACGCCCACAACTCGCGCAATCAATCAACTCGAAATTATACACTCCGGCCACTGGCAACCGGGAACTGGGCAGCTCGGAGAGGTGTCTGGGAAAGCGCAATCGGAATCGGAATAGGAATGGGAATGGCAATTGCAATTCCAATCGCATTATTAAAATGTATCAATCGTTTGGCATTTAAATTAACGCTGCCCCTTCCGTCGCGTCCCGTCCCGTCCGGCAATTAAACTCAAGGCAAAAGCCGCTTGTTAGCAAGAGCAACCGGTTTGGCAAATGCCAACCGTTCAGTCTTAGCCACAACCAACTCTAACCATCTTTCTCTCTCTTTGTCAATTGCAGACAAGTCCCATTTGGACATATTCTCGAACAGGCCGCAGCCGAAGAAGAAACGCAAGTCCCGCACCGCCTTCACCAACCACCAGATCTTCGAGCTGGAGAAGCGCTTCCTCTACCAGAAGTATCTGTCGCCCGCCGACCGGGATGAGATCGCCGCCTCGCTGGGACTGTCCAATGCCCAGGTGATCACCTGGTTCCAGAACCGGCGCGCCAAGCAGAAGCGCGACATCGAGGAGCTGAAAAAGGACTTTGACAGCGTAAAGGTCTTCTCCGCACACAAGTCCTTCCTGGAGAACGTCAACGATCTGAGCATCCTCAAGAAGAAGCCCATGCATGAGGCGGATATGGTTGGACTGGCGGCTGCTGCCGCCGCCGCGGGAATGGTGACGGTTCAAGTGCCCGGATCGGCTGCCTCGTCGCTGGGCGGTGCACCACCCAAATGAAGGCGCGGCCTGGTGCGCATAGAACCGCATATGCAACCTGATAAATGGTACAGAAAGTGAGCAACGAGGAGTCGAGTATTTTGTTTAATTTTGAGTCGAGTGCGAGGGAGTCGGGGCGCAAGAAGAGTTCCCCGACCCAGCACTGGGCTTAGGCCCCGGGAAGCACAAGGACATCCTGAAGTTCTTCCGAGGCCAATAAAGAGGGCAAAGGCAATGTGTAAGGCCAGCCAACAACTGAGAGAGTAACTCAGACAGGACCAAGGTCACCTGTTGGCCAGCGAATACGCCAAAACCCGGACCTGGACCACGCTCAGCACTGAGCCAGAGCTCATCATCACATCGATAGGACACACACACACCCAAACGGCTCTTTTCAGAGCCACCAATCTGTTGGCCAAAGAGCATTTCAAATTTCTCCAATCTGGGTATTCAAATACCCAGCCCAATTAGCGCTGAAAGGCCAAATTTGTTTTACTCCAATTAATAATTTCAGCAAAAAGAGAAGCACAAAAGACCACAAATTGTTGTCAATAAATTTGAACATATTTAAGCAAACAATGATCGAGTCGGAACGAGAGCTACCATTCGGCCGGCTTTTGTCGGTGAGTTCAATTCGGAATTGAGAGTCTGAGATTTTGAATCTGAATTTGAATATTCTGCCTCGACTGATCTTAATGATGTTGCTACGTATTTTGTTGGATCTCCGTCTCCGTCTCCGTCTGAGCTGGAATCCGAATCAGAATCCGCAGTCGCAGCCCGCAGTCGGAGCCGGTGCCTTAAAATAAAAGAAATCTTTTTTAATTTTTATTAATGATTATTTACAACCGTTATTCATAAATTAAAACAAATTAATTATTAATTTAATCACATGCCACAATCGAAAACGAGTCGGTCCGAAGATGGAACCGAAACCCGGCTTCAAGTGACTAAAGCTTTGCAGATTTGTGCACGGCGCCAATTTGCATATGAAATCTACCGAAATTATTTCGATATTTATTAATTTTCGAAGCAATCATTTTCATAAATTCCCAGCTGGAACGGCCGGAGCGAGCTGCTCCCGCTACCGTTTGCGGCGGAGTTCAAAGGTAGCCAGCATCGCCATCGGCGCATACATTTTTCACTCCCGAGCTGGAGCTGAGGCTGAAGCTGGGGACTGAGGACTGAGGACTGAGGATGACCTGCGAGCCCTCCTAAACTGAAGTGCGCCATCAATCTCGCTCTCCCCAACGATCCCCAAACGATCTCAACGAACTCCGCTGTGTCCAAGCTGATCGTTTGTTAATCATTTGAATAATCAAGCTATCAATTCCGCTGCTAATGATGCCGACCGATTGGAAGAACTGGTCCAGGCCGCTCGCTCGATTGTCTCTCACAGTTCGTAAAGTAGCCGGGAAAAACCTCTTGCATATGCATGAGATGCAGATCGCACATTTATTTATTTTCATTTCCAAATGTGTGACAATGCAACGCATGTGTCGCGATAAAGAAACTTAAAAGACGCTCGCCCGAGAAACCCCAAATCTAGTTCAGTTCCTCAGCCCTGGGCCATGGGCCGTGGGCCGCGGGCCATGGGCCGTGGGTCTTGGGTGTTATTAATAGGTAGCCCTTTGAAAGCGCTGCGGCGAAAGTAAAAGACCTGGAAAACCATTTAATTGAAATTAAGTTGTACTCCAGTGCGGGTATCACACACCATCTGTGATGGGGGGCACAAATTACTGGAGCCATTACCGGTGGCATTAGGTTTTAGTAGCTGAGAAAATTCGCCCGGCAAATCGGGGTAAACTGCGACAGCGGCTCTAATTATGGGAAAATCTCTCAGCACTTCCGTGAAAACAAACAGAAATGCCTAAATGTCGAAACCCATTAATCGAATCAACTAAAAATGACTAATGAACCTACCGCACGATGAGTGGAAGTGCCTCATGAGCCTTTACCTCCGCCGCTACCTCTACCTCTACCTCTACCTCTACCTCTACCTCTACCTCTACCCGGCTTTAATGAGGCCAGATGCTCTCGTCATAATGTGGTTTCTTGTGGTAATAATGTTCTTTTGTAAGTTTGAGAATCGGCCTGCTAATAGAATTAATTGAGTATTTAGATGGTAGATACTTCTAGCCAAAAGTACCATCTTAGAAATAGAAATCATAGAAATTCAACTGAACTTTGAATACTAAACAAGACTATACAAAAGACTATACGTAATTTGTTGTTGATTTCTTGGGAGCGACTTCGGCGCATCGCCAAAGACTGTGTGTTTGTTGTTGGAATTTTCCCACCGAAGAGTAAGTCCGGGAAAAGTGCGGGTAGTTGGGTAGTTTTTTGCTTTATGAAAGTCTTTTTTAAACACACTCGTATCTTGAGTGCCTAAAAACAACAGTTGGTTTCCATTTTCTTGGTGCATGCCAAAGTTTTTATATCCCAATAAAATTATCTATAGATATGGATAATTTCTGTGGCACATAAGCCGAAAATGTAGTTGGAAAGAAGTTCTTAAATTTTGAAAAGTGCAAGTTGCAATCCATCAAATAAAACCATCAAAACAGCAGTGCAGGCATTTCGATATCTGGTTTTCGCCCTCAGCCTTGTCTGGGTTGCCCGTTCCCGTTCCCCAACTAAATGTTCTGTCTTCCTTGCTCAGCCATATTGTCAGCAATTACTCAACATTTCCCTCGTCAGAGGAGGACAGATCACACGACCAAGTGCTGGCTGCTCTCACACACAGAGCTCAGCACTCGACCTACATCAAGTCCCAGTCCCAGTCGGAGACGGAGACGGAGAAGGAGATGCAGTCGGATCCCTAGACGGAGATGGAGTCAATGTTGGACTTCCAGTTCGACTTTAACTGGCGCCGCGTTGCCAAAAGATGAAAAGTTGCCCTCGCGGCGGTTACAAACGACTCCGCTGCCCCTTTCCCATCGCGTCCCGTCCCGTTCCGTCCCGTCCCGTCCAGTTCCATCGCACTGCTGATTATGATAAATGCAAACAATTCAGCTTGGCACACAAATGCAATCAAAGGACTGCAATTTTACAACTTAGTTGTGAGAGGGAACAAACCAGTTAAGAGAGAGGGCCAGCGAGCGAAACCCAGAGAAGCTCTTCTCTCTTACGGATCGTGTCGCCCCCCAAGAGGCACAACTACTACTTGCAACATCCGCATCTCGGTTCCTGGCCAATGCATTCGTGTGCGTGTGTATCTATGCTACTTTGCTGCGGCTCTGCATGACCATGTTTGTGTGTGTGTGTGCGATAGAGATATAAAAGCTAAATTGGTAACTCATACTTAATTTGTTGGCGGCACCTTTGAACACGCTTCCAATTAGCTTACAGCCGACACCTCGGGCCGGGGACCCCGACTGGCGCTCGGGGACTCCGCCACTCTGCCACGTTTTGGGCCACAGGATAACACCAAATGGGAATGATGCAGCAGAAAAGAGTACCCATGGACGAGCGAGGCGCACTGAGAGCAATTTGTTATTGCTTTATGTCCACTGATTTCTGTTTCATTCATCCAGAGATGTTGATCGTGATGCGGCATATTTCGATCAAAGAATCCAAAAACAAGAAAATAAACACAATACTATGGACATTCACTTTCTGATTCATGAATGAAATTTTATGATTCCTTCCGCTGATCTCCCATGAAACGTTAATGAAGTTGTAAATTATGAGAAGCAACATTAACATTTTCTTTCAAGAAGTTGGATCCGAAAGATAAAAAGTATCTTTGATGTTGATACAAATAACTTGAAAACAAAACTTGGGATGATACAATTATGATGAAATTAGTTAAGTATTTACTCCAAAATGATGTACAAAATATTTCATATATTTTTAGCATTTCATTTTTTGGTGTAAAATACAAAAGTTCTCTGCCAACAATCTTAAACTATTGGTATGTGGTTTTCTTTAACCGAAGCTGGTGAGAGATATTCAAGATTGATCATTTCGACGATGCCATTCAATCATCCAAATAAATTTTTGCTGCTTATAGCTATTATTGCACTATTTCTAAAAACTCAAATATTCAGAACTCTTAACGAAACTTGAACAATTTATAGAATTCCACTACGAATCCAAAACCTATCTACAATGCACTACAAAGAAAAGCCCTGCCCAAGTTTTATGAAAAATATATCATTAAAACGTCTCAATGGAGGCCTCTTTTAATCATGATGATGGTAATGTTTTAAAGAGAGAACACAAGAACTTTTGTAAGATAGATGATAGATAGATAAATAGATAGATAGATAGATGGTAAGACATCCAGAATTATCGAATAACACCAATTTTCATAACTCAATGCCTTTTGGTTTTGGTCCCAAAAACACCCTCAAACAAAATCCGAAGTCCTCCCACAAATTGTTCCATTCCCATTCCGCTGGTTCTCCTTTCGATGCATAAATTTAAACGTGTATCAGCTTTTGGAACCGATATGGTAATCCCCAATCTGGTAGCGGTTAATTTTTATCACGATAAGATCACACACAAAGAACCGCCATATACCATCGCATCCCATCCAAGACCAATCAGCCACTTAGCCCCATCTCGTACAGAACACACACGTAGGCGCCTCCAGCGTGAGGTTCAGTGTCCATCAACATCGTTGGATTTCGCCGGACTCGATCGCGGACAAAGTTCGATGGTATTTTTGTTGGTGCTCTGGCTCTGGCTCTGACTCTGGCTCTGGCTGTGGCTGTGGCTGTGGCCATTGGCCACTTAATTCGTTTGATGGCAATGCGTTGACGCCAGTTCCAGTTGCTGTACCGCTCGATCGTCGTTTGGCTGACATTAAGCTTCATCAGACATTCAACTCGATGCTGAATTAGCATACAAATTACACACGAGCACTAGCACTCAAAAATGCTTTTGGGATTTTCGGTTTTTTTGGTTTCGGTTTTCTCCGGCAGCGGCAGCGGCACCGTCTCCGACTCTGACCACAACAAAAAGCCGACAAAATTCGCCCCAAACGCTTCCAAGTGGCAAACGGCTACCGATTTTATTATTGATAATGTTTTGATTTATCACAAAGATATACAAATTGCCACTGCTTCGACTTCGACTTCGACTTCGACTTGGACAGCCAGTCCGACTCCGACTCCGATTCCGACCGCGGGTCCAGGCTGTACGATATCTTGCCCCAAGGCGCGGCACTTTTGTGTATCTTGTGGATAAACGCTGGGGTATTTCGTTTGAGACCATAATTTTGTATGCGGTAGCCCAAAGTTGTCTGTTGGTCGGTGTTGGTGTCATTTTCGGTTTTGCGGCTTCTCGGGCAGGGAACCCTTAAGTTGAGCGATCTCCGGGCTGGTCTTAATAGATGGATCCGATTCGATGCGATCGGATCCGTGTGACACAAAGTGTTCGTTTAGCAAATTGTCTGCGACATTTTCGAGTCGTCTTTGTGGTCGAAATCTGCATAATGAGTTGGCCAAATGTTGACAGCTGTCCCAAGTGTCGAAGATGCCTGATGCCTGGATGATGATGAGGTGTGGGATCCAGGCGGGGATCGACTCAGCAACAGCAACAGCATCAGCGTCAGCCCGCAGTCATAAGCGGATTCGTCACAGATTCGTTTTTGGGTGCAGCTGAGGTTCGTGCTGAGGTTGACGTTGAGGTTGCAGTTGCAGTTGCAGTTGAAGTTGAAGTTGTGGCAGCAGGATCGCTGCAAGCTGACTTTAATTGGCGTGCATTTCGGTTCGCATTCGGATGGCAGGGCGGCCACAGACCACAGACCCTGATCCCAGGATTCATTCGGCGTTGATAGTTGACAACTGCCTGGCACAACTTCATCATCATCACCATCCTCATCCTCATCCTCAACGGCCACAGGAACAGGAACATGAACATCGGTTTCGGGTTTGGGTTCGAGTTTGGGTACGGGGTTCGGGGTTTCGGAGCATCAGCAAAACAAAGGGCGACATTAATGCATCGCCAGCAGCAACCTCGTACCCGGCGAAGGGGCGTGACAAATTTGACAACAACAGCAATGACTTTATTACCAACTGACTTCCAGCTCTGGCTTCCTCCCTCCTCCCTCCCCCCTTCTCCGATCCCGCCACAATGACAATGTACTCAAATACGAGGGCCTGGGCACTGAAGAGCCGTCTCTCTCTCTCTCTCTCTCTCTCGCTCGCTCAGGACGACCCCGGGGGAATTGGGCCTGACTGCCAGATGCAGATGTGTGGCTCTCAGTGAATTGTATTCACATATTCGAATGTTTGCAACAATAAATACTTTAGCTATTTATGAGGTTTTAATGAACAGAGAGACTACGGCCGATCGCCATCTTGGGCGGACTAATGAAAGGATATAACCGCACAGGGGGAGAGGAGGACTGATATATTTGGCTTATGAGTTTGCAGAATTAGAGGCGTGTCGAATGCTTCGAGTGGATATGAATACGAGTATGAGTGTCGGTGTGAATGTGAATACGGACAGGAAGAACGGGTACGGGAGTGAGTATGGGATTGGGTATCGAGTGGATGGCTAGGGCTAGGGGCGCAAGCTAATTATGATTGACAGGGCGTGTCGCGTCTATTGAGGCGCCCAATTAAGAGTCATTTTGTAATTGATTTTGAATTCGAATGTGAACACGACTGCCAAAGGAGGCATTCAATTTAGAGCGGGCCAAACCCGAGCCACATTCGAGTCAGTCAAGAGTCCATCAAGTGTCAAGTGCAGAGGCATTAATCAAGCACAGTATCTCGGCCATCTTGCAACAGAATCGGTGGCAAGCGAAAAGGGAAACTACTATGCAAATTCCAAACGACATTGAAAGTGAAAATCTATAGGGAACGAAGGAAACAATCGGGGATGTGGCTGTGAGGAGTCCTTTTATCAGTTCTAGATAACATAAAGTATGGACTTAATCTGTTTATTGTAGTACTTTGTGAAAGGGGTTTCCCTTACCCAAACAGATTTTGACTCTGATGTGGTTCGAAACCAAAGACATTTTCTTATAAGTTATAACTTATAACTGCTCAATGCCAGTCTTTGAAACCCGAAAAACATATAATACTAAAAACATAATATATTATTTTAAAAAGAGAGAAAACTTTTGTAATTAAATTCTATTAATAATATAATCATTGTTAAATCTTGTAATCATTCATATATGTAGATACCCAGATACATGCCGTATTATATAGAATTTCGGTAATCTAAAGCCTCGAAATGTTTAAAGTACACAATTATACCCCGTTTTTGGAGAGGGTAAGGTAGGGGAGCCGACTATCGATTACGGTTGAGCAGTTACATCATTTCACTTAGCCTGCCCCCAGCACCCTGCCCGTCCATCGACAAAGGGCGCATTGCAGTTAAATAGACACTTGCATGCAAAATGCAGGAAAAGCGAGAAAAAGAAAAGAAAACGAGGACAAACGGCGAAGCGAAATTGAATAAAAAACTGACACTGACAAACAAATGAAGTGGGGAACGGACATGATGTTGCAAGCGGAGCAGAGTTGCAATCAATTTGCTGTTGCACGCTGGGTGTGGAGGGATTGGGTTGGGTGGGGAAACGAAAATGTGTGCCACCAGGATGGAGGGGCAGGGACGGTGGGAAACTTGAATTTAAAGACGTTTCTTTTTTTTTGCAGCGAATTCATCAGCGGCACAAATGGATGAGGATGAGGAGAGCCAACCAACGGTACCAGACTCCGACTCCGACTCTGACTCTGACTCTGAACTAGACATCATTATTGATGACAATTGAGTGGGCCAACAGCTAGGCGGCTGAATTGGGCCCAAAAGAGGGCCAGCGTCGTCAGCGTCAACGTCGGCAATTACGATAATTAACGCAGCCAGCCGCTTGGAAACCGAGTAAGAAAGAGACAGAGACAGAGCCACAGAGCCACAGAGCGAAGAAAGAGAGCGAGAGAGAGTGCGGTGCGGGCTGAGCGCGAGCGCATGTCAAATTGTACAAATTGATGACGTTCGCACGTTGACAGCGTCGCGTCGAGGGCGGGGTACGTGGGCTTTGATTGGTCCGCGTGCGTTCTCTTCGGTCGACTCTCTGGCTCTCTGGCACGCCTCCCTCTGGGCCAGAAAGACGCAGCTGCGGCCGTGACGTCATCGAGCGAGCAGGACAAACAAGTTTGGGCCCCCAAAAACCGGTCGGGAGAGCGAGAGACAGACAGCGCGACAGCGAGAGGGAGGGAGCGAGTGTGTGGCCAGAAGAGAGCAGCTAACGACAGCCACAGAGAGCCCAGCCCGGCCGGCCACGAGCCATTTTCGTTGTTGGTGTTTGTGTTGCACGTTGTGCCGTGTTTCGTGTGTTGCTGCCGCTCGCCGCCACAACTCTGCGCGTTTTTGCCGACGCGTTTTCGGCCGCCTCCAAACAGTGAACAGAAGATCGGAAAATGTGCTAAACGCCCCCGCCCAAAGCGGATCCAAACAGAACCTGAACGATGCCCCAACGCACTCCGAGCCCCGACGGAATGACCTCCCCGCGCTGCTGCAGTAGTCCGGCCATGTCCGAGATCTCCGTGGGATCGCCAAGCCCACCTCCGCCAGCCTCTACGATCCGGGCCCTCAACATGAAGCGCCTGCGACTCCTGCGCAGTCCCACACCCCTCCAGAACGGTCGCCTCAAGGCCAGTCAGCCCGGCGAAGGGGGGATCCGCATCAAGAGCTTCTCCATTGCGGACATCCTGGGACGGGCAGATGATGATAAGGATCGGAAGCCAGCCACGCCCAATCCAGTACCGGCTTCTACATCTTGTCCCGCTCCTGTTCCCGCTCCTGCCCATGCGGCCGCTCCAATGGTCCTCATCCATGAGCGTCTCCAGGCACCGGCTGCTGGTCAGCTGATCCATTGCCCAGCTCCGGGCGGACTCCATCCGTTCCTATCGCCCGCCCTGCTGCACAGCTACGAGCAGCGCCTCGCCTGGGACTACCAGCGCCAGCTGCAGGAGCACTTCCAGGCCCAGGCCCAGCTCCTCCGCCAGATGAGCATGAACCCCGCCATCATACCGTCCGAGGACGGCAGCTCGGAGCGCTCCCATCGATCCAGCAGCAGCAATGGCAGTACCGACTGCTGCAGCCCCAAGGAGAAGCCGTCGCCGCCAGAGGGGCCCCCCGACATGGGGCAGAAGAAGCCTGAACCTGGGGCAGACACACCACTGGACGCGTTGTTCCAGCTGTCCACCAAAAACTTTGACGAGGAGCAAGGTGAGTGAATGCCTGCCTGCCTGGCTGATGCAACCGCAGACAAATTACATTACATTTTAATATAAACAAGAGCCCCTCCTGTACGGTACGGACAGACCCCAATGCCTATTCCATCATAACCATTAGCCTGGCCAGCGATTGATCAATTGTTGTCATTACGTCTTGATGAGATTCTGCTTAAGGCGTAAAAACAGTAGTAAGGTCAGGCCGGCCGAGGTGGCTAAATCAATTTCAGGCATTACCGCACTGCCTGGCTGGCTGGCTGGCTGGCCATCTCGGCATCCTCTTTGATTGCGATTGCCTTTCCCATGATGGCTCTGGCGCATGCGTATCGTTCGGCATAATTTGCTTAGCGGCGTTGATTTCTCGTTAAGCCGCGGACCCATCCATCCATCTACTCAGACCATCCATCAGCAGACAGCCCCATTTCGAAGCGAGCTTCGTGGGTCGCTACTGAAATTGAATTTACGCGCCGCACGTACAACAGGCAATTGGTTCGTGCCCCGCTCTGGATTGCCATTGCCACAGAGCAGAGGCAGCCGTCTAATCAGCTGATCGGTTGATCGGTTGATCAACTGCTACTGGCATTGAGTGCACACTCCCAGCCAGAGATGATTATGATTATCGCACAGAGATGCAGCACTTAAGCGCCACAGTTTGCGAAAATATATTTTCCCAAGACATCGCAGGCATCCGGTCTCGAGGAGATCCTCTGTGTCGCCCATTCTTTTGCAATTGCAAATTGCGATATTGATCAAAAGCCGTAACCGGCCTGGCCTGGACCGTTGAGGGAATGATCTGAGGCACTTCCGTCTGGTAATTAGGAGCAACGACAGCCCAACCCCATTCTTTAGTGCTTCACAGTCCCCAACACACTCTCTGCTCTGCTCAGGCCTCATGACGATTGCCAGAAGATACGGCAAGGCTTTGCCAGGCAAAATAATTACAATGAAAATGGCTGAAAAGTTGTATCCATTTGAACAATGGACCTGTCGTTAGGTCTCGTCAATTACATAGTGCCGACTGTGGGGCAAAAGAAACAGCACGTATCTGCAGATCCGAATGAGGTACACTCTATACGAAAAATGAGGCATAACAGACTCAAAAGTCTGCAGCTTAATTGAGGAAAAGAGATCCCTGTTACCATTTCATGTGTCTCGCAATATTTCCTGGATTATTCGAGTATGTAAAGAAGTATCTTTTAGTGATGAAACCAAAGTAAATATGTTACAGATGCATGCAGAAGCAGTCCCCTTGGAAGGGTACCAATGTAATTGTAATGGGTTGAAAGGGAGGCATAGGCATGGCCATATACCTAAGGATGGTGATCAGCACGGGCTGCCGCTTCTGCTACTGCTGCTGCTGCTGCTGCTGCTGGCTGATGAAACGCCAAGACAATTGGCAGAGACAGTCGCATTATTGAACGCACAAACGGCACAAAGTAGCAGGAAAGGCGGCGGATGCATCCCTAATTACAATTTAATTACTGAAACTTTTCCCACTTGACAAAAGGCAGCGGCAATGGCAGCCAAAGACTGGGGCCCATCGGAGCATGAACCACAAAACGCACCACACAGGCACACAGGCACACAGGCACACACATACTCGTACACGTCCATAGACAAAGCGAGAGATACAGCAACAACTACTTGTACAGCGGATACAATGATGATGGCTGGCTCTTTGGGTTGACAGTTGATTTGACAGATAGTAGTGTAAACATTTTACAACATGCGGATCCGGGGTCGCGGGCTGGGGCGTGGTCTGGCCTGGTCTGGTCTGGCCATAGAGTCGAAACTAATTAGTTCAACTAGACGTATACTTAACTTGGAATGGGGGGGGTTACAAAGTCAAAATTGTAAATAAATGCGAGATTAGGCATAAATTATAATTATAATTGGAAATTGGAATGGGAAATATAAAGCTGGTCGTGTGCTAACTACCATGCAAATGGAACCCAACAGAAATCTGTTGTTAGAAGGCAATTTGCAGTCACGCCAAATCAAGCGATCCATAACCGGTCCATAAAAATCCTATGTCTAATATACATCGAATTTCTTTGGCTGGTGGTGATGGCCTTTTGCCTTCCGCCTAACACGGCATTTAAAATAGCGTGCCATGATTCGGCCACGCCTCTATATAGTATCTGGTGCACCAGATACGAGTAGATTCTATCTGTCACATTAGTGACCACTTGGCCAGTGATTGTTGCTTAAATATTTGCCCAGGGATCTCGTCGGGTATTAAAAATCTGATCCGCAGATAAGACAAATGGAATTGGTGTGTACCATCGGGAATCACGAACGCCTCAACACACTGATGTTTGGATAATTGAAAATGTTCTACACTGAATTGTGTATAGATTGTGTTGATTATAAAGGGCAGAGATAGCTACCTATTATACGAGTAATTATCGGTTTGCTTTGGTCATGTTTGTGACTTATGATTGATACAACAGACAATTAAAACTTTGTGTTCCCTGAAGATTCCCTGAAGGATCAGTTTATATCAAAATTATCATAAATACCCTCTTCAAGAGCGTATTAATGTGTCGTTTTGTGTAATCCGTACTAGAAAAATCATCACAATTCTTGGGTAATATATTTACAAGTTTTTCTGTTGCAATTGCCATTTCATTCATTTTAAATGCTTCCCAGGAAAATCATTCAATAGATGAACACACTCAGCGAAGTCTGACTGAAACATAAATCAAGCACACAAAAAGAAATCCCGCCAAAGTGTAAAATAAAAGTTCATTTCAAATGATTAATAGCTGAACAGCACAGCACAGCGTTTCATTCGCTAATGACATTAAAAAAGCGCGAATGCTCAAGAATATTCATATAGATATGAGCCTACGAGTGTACCGATTAAATACTATATAGCGAGACTCGTTTGCCTCAATAAAATCGAGAAAATGACTTGGGGCACAAACTGTTCTCGCGGCATCTGCGGCATCTATGGGGGTTTCGTGTGGGGCAGGGTGGCGCAGGGCGCATAAAATATGCATGAAATATTGTGAAAATGCCTCGAAGCGGGGGTTCTGGGACAGCCGAAACAAGTTGACAAGCCCGGCGCTCGCATAAATTCTCTAATTAACGGTTGCGCCTCAAATAATTTATTAAAAATTATAATTTGCCATAGTAAAAGTGGCAGAGAAATATGAGTTGTGTTGAGTTGAGTTTGCGTGCCGACTATCCATAAAGAATTAGCATTAATATGAGCTCTCGGGAAAACTACAAAAACATAAACAGAAAAAAAATGAGTCTTGCGTGGCGTGGCGGCAGTTTTCGGTTGGCTTTCAAAAATGGATAACTGCCTGATTTGCTTTCACTGAACGGAGTCGTAGACGGAGCGTGAGAGGGAGAGGGAGAGGGAGCCCCGAGGGCTGCACACAACGAGAGTATAAGCACGGGTGGTCCATCACTGGGGACCCTCGGAGCAAATTGCATACCTCTCGGTCCGGTTGGAGTCAAGGCAAGGCAAGGCAAGGCAAGGCAAAAGAACAAGAACAACAAGTGACGCCTTGCTAAAAGGCCAACACTGGCACAAGCACACACAGATACAGACACAGATACAGATACAGATACAGCTTTGCCACGAATACAGACAAAGAAGCATACAAAGATACAGATACTTGGAGAAGAGGTGTGCAAAAGCAACGCACTGAAGGTGTTACCTGCACGCTTTTGATGAGCACTAATTGAGCTCGAGTTGCATTTTTCTTCTCTTCCTACCATTGCCCGCGACTCCACCAGAGGGGGGGACTTGACTTGGCCAGGAGCAGGGAACAGGGAGCAGGGAACTGGTAGCGGGACGGGGTAGCGGCGTCAAGATCAAAGCCAGCAAGCCGATCATAAAGACAAGCGAAAATCAAGCATCGACAGTTGCACAAGAGACAGCAAATGAGAGAATTAGCAATGGAGAGAAGCACCAGAGCGACACCGAGAGAACTACATGAATTTTGGTAATAACTTTATCAGGGCCATATGGGAGGCCCAAACTAAGGCTAAAACGAGTCCAACACAAAAAGGAAGTCAAGCAAATGTTTTTGGTAACAAAAAAGGGGGAAGACCCTGGCCGAGTCAGGACCTTGTCAAAGTTCTTAAAAGCGCAATGGCATTCGCATTCCCATTCTCATTTGTATTCGCGTTTCTGCCAAACATTAATCACTGGCCCGAGCAGAGCCGTGGACCGCCTGAGCTGTGAATTTTCGGCATGTGTCGAACATCAAAAGCCCGCGCCACGCATAAAAAGCCATTTAAAAACGCATTTTCTGCCTGGCCCATGCCCCCAAAGAGCACTCCCCGCGTGACCCCGAGGGGCCAGCCCCAGACCCGGACTGCGACTGGACCGACGAGGTGGTGGAAGGCGAGGCGATTGCCATTGCCAGAGACAGCCAGGAAATGCAGTGCGCGAGATTGATGCGTTCACAGACAGCCCAGCGGACTACTGCCACAGGAATGCGACGAGGTTGGGGCCACGGCCGGAGTCAAGTGGGGAGAGCGGTGGAAAACGCATTTTCTCGCTGGCAGCTTTTCCAGCTGCCCGGGTCGTTATCGGGTGGGGCGCAGTGTGCAGAATTATATGGGTCAGCTGGCGCCTTGACTGGCAAAACCCGTTCTCCCGGCTAGGTGTTGGCCAGCAGCGATCTCAGACAATCTCCGACGGAGGGTTGGGGGGAAAAGGTAGACGAGGGAAGTGGTAGATGAGTAGTATCTATGTATGATAATCGCGTATCTATGAAAATGCACAGCGACAAATCATATTTATATGCTACCTTCAGAGGCCAGAGGAGTCTTTTGATGATAAATGTTGAAAAGCCGGCATAAATTAAAGCATTCAAATCATTAGCAGCGATGCCGAACAAACGAGCAGGCAGCGCGAACAGGATGGAGCGGATGGATCGGGGATTGCAGGTTGCCAGGGGAGTGCCAAGTGCCAAGTGCCAGAGCCCCTCCCAGCGGATGGGGAAATTATTCACAGCTACGGATCAGGCG